GTGTGAATTTGTACAGGGTTGTTGAATATCATCTTTAACTGCTGAAAGGATGTTGCAGGAGTTTGTGGCAGAATCTGAGGAAACCTGGCTGAGATTTCATTGGCTGATCTGATACTACAGCGATGTTAAAAATGAGTCAAAGAGAGTAAATGAAGCGCCTGAGGCTCGTTCACGAACACATTCACTCACAGCATTCATGAGCGTTAGCATATCAATAAAAAAAACTCTCCTGTGTGTTGTCTCTCTATCGTTCTCTCTCTCCTCGACAGCACATTCCTCTCAGATCATGTGTGAGATCATATTCAGTCTCATCTCAGATTAGCTGGAGCTCAAAGCACAGGAATTCAGTGAGGACGGACAGGAGATACACACGCTTGTGTTGAGATGAGCTTCTCCTGTAGAAATACACCTTCAGTATGTATAATGTCAGTGTATCCAGCAGCTCAAGCAGTGAGGTCAGTCTAATAAACTCATAAGAGTCAGAATTAGAGATGATGTTCATATGCTGCTCAACGGCGCCTGCTAGTGCTTCTCTAATTCAGTGCATGATGTTGGGAAGATCTGAGAGATAAAAAAATGTCACAAGGCCCTAAAGCCGCAAACTATGAAAGCTTGTTTCCAACACCAATAATAATTTAATTTATTACACAATTCTGAATTTTGTTTGCAATTCTGATTTTATATCTCACAATGTTTCCATCTAATATGTAGTCTGAGCTGCAGCTCGTCATTTTAATGGAGTGTTTCACTAGTTAGCAGGTTACCTCACCTGATTATGTTCTAGATTTGTGTTGGATGTTATCTTTGGAATGGATATTTTATTTGCAAACGTCATACTTTTTTCGCTTATTTCAGTTAATCTCATAAAACTAGCAAGTTAAGCCAGTAGTAGTGCTGACAGGGTCGTGTAAACATGACTGAAGACGAGAAAAGAGGAACAGACGAACCGATTCAATTGAATGAGTCATTTACGCTGGAACCGCTTCGATTGATTCGAACTCGTGACTTCGATTATTCAGTCCAAGCGATTCACTAGCAAAAACCAGTTCGAAAGAGCATTTTCGTATTACGACATCGCTTAAAAAGCTCGTAGTGATGGGAGAAACTGAGCTTTTCGAAACTCCAAATCAGTTAAAAAATTGCGTCGCAAAATGATTCCCTGATTCGAAGCGCTCTAATTGCGAATCATTTGGTTCAGATCGGGACTACGGAGCGGGTTCGAGAATCCTTGATCTTCTATTATTAAACAGTACAACACATAAAACAATTAAGACAGTACACTTATAAAAACAAAACACGGAAAAAATAAAGTATACACAGATACAAGGTTAAAAAAAGCAATAAATTCACCTTAAGAGGAGACATAGGATGAATACAGAGATACAGTTTTCACTGCTTTAGGATTAACATAGCCTAACTTTGGATAGTTTCCATATAGACTTGTCTAGATCAACCTTGAATAAAGAAAAGAGAGGTTTAGAGCCAGTACATTTAAGAAAAGTAATCTTTTGTTCCTTTGGTATTGCTTATTTTTTTGACCCATGACAGAAGTGGCATAATGCCAATGGGTTTCTATGTAAATTAAGCTGAAGTATTCTAGGTTGATCTGTCTTGTATTGGTTTTACACAGCTGGACGTTTGCCTGCTCACATGTAGAAACACACTGGAGAATCACATGGAGTTGATGCTGAGTGACGGAACATTCTGGTCTCTGTGAACAGAGTCTCACTGTGGTTTAGTACAGTACGTGTTTTATTCAGCATCATGTCAATATATCAGCAGCTCAGACTCTCTCACACGTACTGATTTAACTGTATTTCCTGTCACAGAGGAACTTAACCGCTGAGAAACAGAGGGACATTCAGAGAGAAAGACAGAGGGAAAATCCAGGGGAAATTAAAAGGACAATTTAAAGGCTGAGCGCATGTTAAGCAAACACAGGCGCTCATGGGCTATATCACGCTCCAGCAGCGGCTCCTCACACACTCACAGCACTGGGCTTGTGTTTCAGAGACTGGTGACTGTGAGGGAGTCTGCTTAAGCTGCTCTCTGTCACTGTGACGTATGATCTTCAGCCATGTTTAAATCAACATGTGTTCTGAACTAAACATGGGAGAGCGGGGCATGTTGTCACACTTTAGACTGCAGCGAAAATCTCTCAGGATGGGTTTAGTCACTTTCTTTTGAGAGAATGCGTTTGAGCTTGATAAAAATAAATAAATAATATTCTAACAATAATATATTATTATTATAATCACGTTTCAGAACAAATAAGTTCCAAAACAAACTATTTGTCTAAATAAATAAATATAGTTTTCATAATAAATAAAGAAATAAATGAATAAGTAGATGAAAACAAATAAACAAGTAAATAAAATAGTTTTCATAAATACTAATAATTATTATATTCTAATAATATATTATTATTATATCATAATATTTCAGAATAAACAAATAAGTAAATAAAATCAATAAATTAAAATTCAAACAATTTGTCTAAATAAATAAATAAATATAGTTTTCAGAATAAATAAAGAAATAAATGAATAAGTAAATGGAAAACAAATATACAAGTAAATAAAATAGTTTTCATAAATAAATAAGAAATAAATCAGTTTTCATAATGAGATCCTGTCATTAAAATCCTATTGCTGGCTTTTCAGCAAAATCAGTATAAACATTTATGCAGCACAAATCATTAAAAAACAATGTATTTGATTATAGCATAAATACTGATTTAATATATCTTACATCTATCCACATTCCCTTGCATAATTTGTCTATAGCACATCTGTACATACGATACTGTTTACTGTCTCTTTGTCTATTGCGTATTGTTTTTTACATATTTATTTTCACTTATTTTTATTTTGTCATCAGTGTCTTGTCACTTGTCAGCCTGTCTGTGCACTGGAAGCTTCTGTCACCAAGACGTGTGTGTGTAAGCACTCTTGGCATTAAAGCTCTTTCTGGTTCTGATTCTGAATGCATAAAACATGGCATCTTAATACAATGTGCATAACGTGACAGTTATTAACCTGAAAACACAGTTCAACCTTCAGTTCAGCATAGTGTGTATTATTCTGTTCCCTTATGACATTATATTACTGTTTTATGTTGGACGACAGACAAAAATTAATTTAATATATCACAGTTTTGAACTAGATGTTTGAAACCAACATAGAAAACTTATGTGACAACTAGCCCCGGAAAGAAAGACAGAAGGACATTTCTTTCAGCGTGTTTGCATGAGTGGTTAGTTCTTCCCAAAGCGGCCTAATTTCTTATTTTAAATCAATTAAAAGTCTTCCGGAGGCGCTTGTGTACTCGTTTGTTCCTGAAGTAGGTCAGTGGAGCATCAATGCTGCATTAATGCGCTAAAATTAGCCTCATCAGACCCAGCAGAACAAACATCAATGCATCGGGCCCAATTAAAAGATCAGCACACACAGAATAACGATAGGGGACTGAACACACAGAGATTAGTGTTAGGAGGCTGAGAGACTGCAGATAATCAGCTTTACCGAAGCCTGTCTGACCAACCGATACAGACGACACATCAGCGTCTGCTCTCCTGAAAAATGGGGCATGTGAAGAGGAAGGCTTATTTAACTAATAAAGCTATTTTTTTTAATTATAGAAGTACTTTATATGACCGCTAGATAGCGCTACGCACTTGTGAATATGCATCTACGCTTTCAGTGATAAACTGTTGCATCTGAAATTGTTAATAAACTAATAAAACTCAAGACACTTCCCTACAGAGCATGAGAAACTTCAGACACACTGCAGTTACATAAATAAATAAATAAATATTTTCTTTCTCTTATATAAGCTTTTCTTTCTCAGTATTTTGTCTTATTTTTCAGTAAAATATTTAAACATTCCTAAATCAAGATTTACTTAACAAATGATACAGGAGGAGATATAAAGTCTTGTTTTCTGTAAAAACTTATTAAAATTAAGTAACAGATATCTGCCAGTAGGGTTGGAAAAATAATCGTGTTTTGCATTTGAATTAATTTTTCTGATCGCACTGAAATTTTGTTTTTTTTTTCGTTTTAAGTATAAACTCACATTATTTTATTTTATTTTATTCGGAAAACAAATATGTTAAATCACTTGGTTCTCAAGCAAATGCATCTCGATTTAAAAAATGTTTAAATATTTTGGACTGTAAAACAAGTCAAATATTATTATTATTTTAAAATAATTTTTAAATTGCGTGATTTAACTCTAATCTGAAAAACAGAAAGACCATTTAAAATCTGTAGACAAAACACACTTCTTTTTATTTCAACAAACTGGGCACACAGAAACGTTCTTACTAATATCAACACACAATTACTGTGATACATTTCACGCAACATTCACAAATATGCTGAAAAAAAATACATAAATGCATTCAAACACGTATGATGAGTGGAAAAAGGAGGCAGGAATGTAAATGAGCGGCTGGTGTTATTGTGGGCACATAACGGTACATTCAATACCTGGAGCGCTGCTCTGTTATAATATTCAGGCTACGCGATGATTGACATCCGCTTCATCCAATCAGCACCCGAGTCGATGACTTTACAATAGAACTGGGAGCCAGAGAGGGGCGGGGTCAGGCACAGACAGCCAATGGCAGGACAGGAGGGCGGGAGCTTTCTCAACTCGGGCTTTTGTTCTCTGTCGGGGCAGTAAAGTGAAGTTTGGGCACCGTTATTCCGCGGGACATCCCGTATCAGAATCACAGGGATAACATTAGAGCTGCTTTATTTCCTTGAGGAAAAACTCTCTCCGGAGGATTTAATCGCAGCGAGCTTTCCTTTTCCTCACAATGGAAACTCCATCATCATCATCATCATAAGAAGAAGAACGCGAAGTTTTGCTGGGTGAATTCTGACAGGATTTTACAGCGAATGAACCCTTTCTCCTCCCTAAAACGGGTTTTTAAGGGTATCCCCGCGGATCTACAACTCTTTAGGAACTCTTTAGCGGAACTTTACCTCAAGTTTCTTTGAAACGGCAAGCGCGCTTTGGATACATTTCCTTTGATCGCCGCTTTTTTTGGATACAATGTTGCAAATCTGAGGTGAATGTATCAGGCTCGGAAAAACCCTGACTGCATCTGTGATCATGGCGCTCTCAGGTAGATCTCTAGACACTTTGCACCTCATTTTATTCGTTTTATGGACTTTATCGCGCTACTCTTTATCCAGTCAAGTTCGGCAGGAGTTTGAGGTTCTGGAGGAGCAGCCGGTGGGCACATATGTGGGCACCATCGACACCAAACCCTCTTTCACGTACAGATTCAGCGAACACCACAAACTTTTTTCCATCAACGCCACGACGGGCGTCATCTACACGTCCTCCGTGATCGACAGAGAAGTTCTGCCTAGTAACATCATTAATGTGGTGGTTCTGTCCAGTCAGCCCACTTACCCCACCGAGGTGCGCATCGTGGTTTTGGATATTAACGACAACGCGCCGGTGTTTCCTGACGCGTCCATCGTGGTGTCGTTCAAAGAAGACGCGAGCAGCGGGCGTCAGGTGATTCTGGACACCGCGACGGACGCGGACATCGGGAGTAACGGAGTGGATCACACCACCTACCGAATCGTCAGCGGGAACGATCAGCGAAAGTTTCGCTTGGATATCACCGTCAACCCGAGCGGAGAGGGCGCGTTTCTGCACTTGGTCTCCACTGGAGGGCTGGACAGAGAATTAACCCCCTTCTATCAGCTCCTCATCCAAGTGGAAGACAAAGGAGAGCCCAAAAAGTTTGGGTTTCTGCAGGTAAACGTCACCATTCAGGATATAAACGACAACCCACCTGCTTTTGACCAGGATCATTACCAGACCAGTGTGTTCGAGGACACTGCAATTGGCTCTAGTGTTTTGCAGATAACAGCCACAGATCTGGACGAGGGTGCAAATGCTGATATAACATATATTTTAGATGAAGGAACTCCTTTTCAGATTGACCCTAAGGCTGGGACTGTTATTATAAAGGAGGGGTTGGATTATGAGACAAAGAAAGAGTATTCCCTCACTATCCATGCAGTAGACAACGGCGTCCCCTCTCTCTCAGGCAGGTCAGAAGCGACTATAAAACTGCTTGATGTGAATGACAACGACCCCGTTGTTAAATTTCGATACTTCCCTACCACATCCAAATTCGCTTCGGTGGATGAGAATGCACAGGTGGGCACCGTAGTGGCTCTTTTGACCGTTTCCGATTCAGATTCATCCACGGCTAATGGTAATATTTCCGTTTCTATACTTGGCGGAAACGAACAGAGACACTTTGAAGTTCACAGTTCACCCGTCCCCAACCTGAGTCTAATCAGAGTAGCCAGTGTACTCGACCGAGAGCGAATCTCCTCCTACAACCTCACCGTTTCAGTGTCAGATAACGGCAGACCCGTTGCTCGCTCGTCTTTTGCCAGTCTGGTTATATTTGTGAACGATATTAACGACCATCCGCCCATATTTCAGGAAGCCGTGTATAGAGTAGACATCAGCGAGGACATTCCTAAAGGCAGCTACATTAAAGGTGTCTCAGCCACAGATGGAGACTCCGGGCAGAACGCCAATCTCCGCTACTCGCTGGTGTCTGGAAACAGTTTGGGCTGGTTTGCCATCAGTGAGAACAGCGGTTTGGTTACCAGCGCAGCAGAGCTCGATAGGGAAATAGCTTCTCAAATAGTGCTGAATATCAGTGCCAAAGACCAAGGCCTGCAGCCGAAATTCTCCTACACCAAATTGATAGTGAATATCACCGACGTTAACGACCAGGTCCCCACTTTCACTCAAAGCACGTATCACATTTCCTTAGTCGAGCATTCGCCGGCCGGCTCCGAGCTTGTGGTGCTCTCTGCAACAGATTCGGATCTTGGTTCCAATGGCACGGTCCGATTCTCATTTGACTCTGAAACCCCCGTGAGTGTTCAGAATAAGTTCAGGTTGGATGCAATATCGGGCCGGCTGAGTACAGCCACAGAGTTAGACAGAGAAGAAGAGAGCTCCTATCTGCTGCACATCAAAGCTACAGATGCAGGCACGCCCCCCCTTTACTCCATCTGCAAAGTCAATATCACACTGAAGGACGTTAATGATAACAGCCCAGTGTTTTACCCCGTGCAGTATTTTGCCAATATCAAAGAAAACGAGCCCTCGGGCTCATTTGTGACTAGTGTAACAGCTTCCGACCCTGACCTTGGCCGCAACGGCACTGTAAAATATGCCATCACTGCTGGTGACTCTTACAAGTTTCACATCAATAGCAACTCTGGTAAAATCACGACTCTAGTGCCACTCGACAGAGAGGAGAAAACCTCTTATCAGCTGCAGGTCACTGCGACAGACGGAGGTGGATTGCGCTCGCACACACAGGCTATAGTCACTGTCACTGTTGTAGACATGCAAGATAACCCGCCCGTGTTCAGTCAGAAAGAGTACAGCTTTGTTATGTTTGAGAATGTAGCCATTGACACCATTATTGGCACCGTGTTGGCCACCACAGTAGATCTAAACACAAATATCACTTATTTGATCGCATCAGGGGACCAGCGCGGTCTGTTTGCTATCAAAGGCCGCACAGGGCAGATCACAGCTTCGGGGCTGATAGACAGAGAAGAGCAGGCGTTTTACCAGCTCAGGGTGATTGCTAGGGGTGGGGAGGTTACGGGGGAAGCGTTAGTTAATATCACAGTGAAGGATTTGAATGATAATGCCCCTCATTTCATTCACAATGTCGAGCATGTCAGCGCTGTGGAGAACTGGGCCACCGGTCACCATATATTCCAGGCTAAAGCTTCGGATCCTGATGAGGGGACCAATGGCATGGTCGTGTACAACCTCAAACAGAACCCCAAAGGTTTGTTTCACATCCACGAAAGACATGGATTGATCACCCTCACTGGCCCCCTAGAAGTCACCACCAGCTCCTACCAGGTGGAGGTCGTGGCCTCTGACCTAGGTGTCCCTCAGCGCACCTCCAGCCTCATTCTCACCATCAGCGTGTACGACGTAAACGACAACGCGCCAGTTTTTGACCAGCTCTCCTATGAAGTCACCATTCTGGAATCCAAGCCAGTAAATAGTCGCTTTTTTAAGGTGGAGGCCAGCGATAAAGACTCCGGACTCAATGGGGAAATTGTGTATGACATCATTAGCGGTAACACAAATTACGCTTTTGGGATCTTCCCTGACGGGCAGTTGTATATTAAGGCAGATTTGGACAGAGAAGTACAAGATTGGTACAGTTTATTAGTGGTGGCCAAAGACAGAGCCGTCGAACCACTGAGCGCCAGTGTTAATGTGACGATTCTTCTCGACGATGTCAACGACAACCGTCCGCTTTTCAACAGCACAAATTATGTGTTCCACTTTGAGGAAGAGCAGGAGCGAGGCTCTTTTGTCGGGCTGGTTTATGCTGAGGATAAAGACTTTGGGGCGAACAGCGAGGTACGTTACTCCTTTGAAATGCCGCAGCCAAATTTCGAGCTGAACGCCATCACGGGTGTGTTGACCAGCACACTACAGCTCGACCGTGAATCTCTCATGAGACAGAGAGGTGCCGCGGTGTTCAGTTTCACAGTCATGTCCTCTGATCAGGGCCTTCCCAAGCCTCTCAAAGACCAGGCCAAAGTTCAAGTGTACATACAGGACATCAACGACAACCCACCGAAATTCACCAAAGACATTTACCAGGCCTCTATCTCAGAATCCGCCCAGAACATGACGCAGCTGCTCCGAGTCTCTGCCTCAGATGTAGATGAAAATAAAAACGGCCTTGTTCGCTACGACATCGTGGAGGGAAATGAGGATAAACAGTTCAGCATTGACAGCACTTCTGGTCAAGTTACTCTAGTGGGAAAACTAGACTACGAGACAACACCCTTTTACTCCCTCAAAATTATAACGGAGGACTCTGGGATTGTGCCTCTGTCATCCACATGTGTGTTGAGCATCAGTGTCCTAGATGATAATGATAACTCTCCGTCATTTCCCAAATCAACTCTCACAGTGGATGTGCTGGAGAACATGCGTATTGGAGAGCTGGTCGCCTCCGTAACCGCTACAGACTCTGACTCTGGATCCAACGCTGACATCACGTACAGCATCTCCGCCACAAACAACCACGGCACTTTCAGCATCAGTCCCAACACTGGCAGCATTTTCCTTGTCAAAAAACTGGATTATGAAACGCAGTCCTTGTACAAGCTCAACGTCACAGCCAAAGACAGCGGAAGGCCATCCAGGTCTTCCTCCATTCCGGTCATCATTCATGTGAGAGATTTTAATGACAACCCTCCTGTTTTTACACCAGGTGACATTTTTAAATCCATCCCTGAAAACCTCCCGCTCTCCACCTCCGTCATGACTATAACAGCTCACGACACGGATGCTGATATCAACGGCCAGCTGGAGTACTCCATCGTCATGCAGACTCCTAGAGGTGGTCATTTCCGCATCGACACCGCATATGGGGTGATATACACGAACAAGGAGATCGACAGAGAGTTCTCCAACCTTTTTGAGCTGACCATCAAAGCAACCGACCAGGCCGTGCCGGTCGAGTTCCGCCGTTTTGCTCTGAAAAACGTTACCATATGGGTGACGGACCAAAATGACAACATGCCATTATTTATCTCCCAGAACGCCCTAGTGGCTGAATCTAACATAGTGATCGGTTCCATTCTGACTACAGTAGTGGCTTTTGACCCCGACGAGGGTGCCAACGGAGAGGTGGAGTACGAACTCGTGAGGGGAGATTCGGATACATTTATCATGGATCGCTACAGTGGAGATATCAGACTCGCCTTTCAGCTCGTTCCCTCAAAGCTCATCTACAGTCTGACCGTGTCCGCTACGGATCACGGCACGGACCGCAAGACCTCAAGGACGGAGCTGACCATCATCCTTCAGGGTTCAGATGGCCCGGTCTTCTCCCAACCCAAATACATCACCATTCTAAAGGAGGGCCAACCGCCTGGAACCAACGTCATCTCTTTGGATGCCTCCAGTCCACGTGGCACCGGCACCAAGGTGGAGTTTTTTATTGTTTCAGTCCGGAGCGGTGGGAAGGCCGCAGGCCGGCTTTTCACCATTGGCCGCTACTCTGGGGTGATCCAGACAGCTGCAGAACTGGACAGGGAGCAAGGATCGGACCTCTACGTGATAGACGTGTACGCCATTGAAGCCGACGCCAGCCAGCCCAGAACGCAACATGCAGAGGTGAGTAATCGCTGTTTTGTTTTTTTTGGGTGGCGGGGGCTCAGTGATTTTGATGGCTCTTGCATATTGTGTGAAAGGAAATCTAAGGGAACATATTCTGAAACATGTGCTGAAGTCATTTGTGTGAATGTGGTGGAAAAACCTAAGCGAGAATATCCAAACTAAAGAGGGGGAAAAGAGTGTTGGATAACTGTACGTGCATTACCCCCCCCCCTGTTCTTCGATCTGGGTTGTATTAAGTATAAATTGCTTTGCACTTGAGAATGTGGGCTTTGTTTTTTGGCAGGCTAGCTGTATTGTTTCAGCTCGGAGAGAGCGCAGGCCTTAATCTCAGAGTGGAGCGCTCGCTGCTCGAGTTGCTCAGGCAGAGAGAGTGGAACCCTGGGTAAAATGTGCTGCTTTGTGTTCCTGCTGTGAGCGAACTAATCTCTCTTATCAGCAGTGACAAATTCTACAAATCAGATGCCCAGACAGCATGATTGCAGATATGAATAACACAAAACCACGGGATGGAATTGTTTGTTTCTTTCTTATTGTAATAGTTTTCTGGCCACGGAAAGGAAGGCTAAAAGGGAAATGAGCGGTGGAGATCCGTGTGTGGGTCTCAGATACCTGTTCCCCGCCGAGTAAGCAGGGGAATTAGCCGGGGTTTGAACGCCTCAAGCGATGTCAGATCAGGGTGGTCCATGAGACCCTGCTTTGTGCCACCAGCATTGCCTGAACAGGCAATAAGTGACCATTAAATTCAGCTGACCCTCTAAGTCTCAGTGAATAGAAATTTCCTTTCAGAGGGGGCTGAGCTGAGTAAGAGGAGGAATCTCTAAAAGTGAAACTTAATCCACACGTTGAGTTGGTACACTGCGACGCATCTGCGTTGCTCCCGCTAAACTCTCCCTCGAGGGATAGAGTTAAACTCTCGGCTGCAGGAACCAGATGAAATTCTACACTGGGCTTGTGGGTTTGTGTGCACAGGCCTCTGCTCAAATGAAAAACAAATGTGATTCTATATATGTGTGTGTTTTGGAAATTTAAACTGGAACTGAAAATGTTACATTATTACAGGCTTGATGATTCGCGTTTATAAAGTGGATTTTTTTTCCTCGTTCTTTGCTGCTGTGATGAAATGTGCTTTGTGTTAGAGTTTTGAAAATAGCTTCCCGAGAGGCGTTGCTCTCCATTCCGAGAGAAAGAGAGTGAGCGTAATTAAAGCCAAAACGGGGTGTCATCGCTTGTGTCAGATAACGGTGTGCTGAAGTAACTCATCTGAGGTTGTATGAAAGTGTCCATGTGACGTGAAGATCATACCATACAGCAGTGACAATGGAAGCAGATGTGTGTGACATTAGACCTGCTCAAACTCTGTGTGTATGTGTGTGTGTGTGTGTGTGTGTGTGTGTGTGAGTGTGAGTGTGAGTGTGTGTGTGTGTGTGTGTACCTACTTAGCCATATTTTGAGTTTTTTAGAAATGTAAAAATGCAGGAAGTTTTCTGTTAGGATTATGTTAGTGCATCTACAACTATGTGCATTAAACAACAGAAGTCTATGCAATGTTCCATTTGAATAGTCAAGTAAATGTGTGTGTGTTGGTGTGAATATTGGGCTTCACAGTTCCAATGCAAAATAACTTTTCTTAACAAGTACTACTCTTGTTTGCGATTAAAACATCTTTAAATTGAGAAATGTTACAAACTTAATGCAACACAATGCAGGTTGATGCTTAAAAGAAGAAAAAACAAATAAAACAAGATATGATGATATCGCATAAAAATGTTGCTTCCCAAGTAAATGTATTTGATTGTAAAAATGTTTGCATTTTTTACTGAAAAACATACTGATCATCTGATACGGAAATGTAATATATGACATATGCTGTCTTATATAATATTGCAAGGCCAAATATTCAGTAATTTTCAAATTTGTACATTCTCTGGGTAGATGAAGATGTTATAAGTTTATAACATACTGTATATAAAATCCCCATAGTAAAATTTGTATATGTACTTATGTTAATAATATCTATATGATGAATTTTTATATGGTATTATAAGTAGCAACCATATATATGTCATCAATATATATTTTATTGATATATGCAACTACAAAAAAAACATGTTTTTCTATTTTTTTTTTTTTAAATACATGTCTATCTTTTAAATTTACTTACATAAAATCAACATGTAGTGACGGGTTTTATATATGTTAATATATTTTATATATGTTAATATGATATTGTTCCAATTTCTGATAGGTTTCATGTTTGTTTTTACTTCATATGGTAATATATTTAATGTATGTGACCCTGGACCACAAAACCAGTCATAAGGGTCAATTTTTCGAAATTGAGATTTATACATCATCTGAAAGCTGAATAAATAAGCTTTCCATTGATGTATGGTTTGTTAGGATAGGACAATATTTGGCCGAGATACAACTATTTGAAAATCTGGAATCTGAGGGTGCAAAAAAATCTAAATATTGAGAAAATCATCTTTAAAGTTGTCCAAATTAAGTTCTTAGCAATGCATATTACTAATCAAAAATTAAGTTCTGATATATTTACGGTAGGAAATTTACAAAATATCTTCATGGAACATGGTCTTTCCTTAATATCCTAATGATTTTTGGCATAAAAGAGAAATGTATAATTTTGACCCATACAATGTATTGTTGGCTATTGCTACAAATATACCCCAGCGACTTAAGACTGCTTTTGTGCTCCAGGGTCACATATAGATATTTAATATATATGGATATATTTAATTTGCGTATGTGATAAACTTTGTAAAATCACGTCTCCCTTCACCTCAACTCTTCTTTTTATTATTATTTATTATTATTATATGTTAATCATTCAGTATGATTGGATATGGCTGTTGTTCTATCTATAGTAAAACCACAGGACTTTTCTGATGTTGTCTCTCTCTCTCGGTGACGTCTAACTCTTATTTCTGTCTGTCTGTTGCTGTAATGTGTGTGTGGTTTCTCTCATGTGACTGATTTAAGGCTGATTAGCCGTCTCTCTCTTCTTCCTCTTTACTCTCTTTCTCTCTTTTCTCGTTGAGCGGTGGGAGGATGAGGGTTTGGACCGATAGACACGCGTTCACATTCCTCTCTGAACCGTCTCTCTCTCTCTATAGCTCCCCCTCTTGGCTCAGTATCTGTGTGTAGGTCTCTACCTGAGCGTCACACCTGTGTCTGTGTGAACCCGGCAACAGCCTGAGCTTTTGTAGCTTATCAGAAACGCCTGGGAGTCGCTGTATGTGTTTGGGTTTGATGGGTGTATTTTGAGGGCAGGATTTTGGAGAGAAGGCGTGTGGTTAAAGTTAAACTGGCATCGCTTACAGCAGGCATCTAAAGTGGACATATGTACTGCAAAAAATAGTTTCAACACCACAATTTTTAGCAATGTTTGTGTGAAAAAACAGCAATATGGCAGAAGAGCTGCACCGTGTGTTCCTGTGAATGACTGTGAAGTAACTCTGTGCGAGGCATTCATGGGTTAAGGTTATCGGCGCGCTATTGTTTCTCGCTGTGAGGTTTGTTTACTCCGAACTGCAGCTGAAAGTGATTGGAGAAAGTGAATCACAGAAACCAGGCATGGATTGTGCTGCGCTGAAGGTGTGGAGAAAGTTTAAATGGACGCAGCTGATATGCTCCAGTTCACCTGCACACTATACCTCTCATTATTATGTTAGAGTTAGGATTTTCACAAAACACAAAACTGTGGTTGAACTCCTAACATGTCAGTCAGATAGTTAACAGTTTGGCTGAACAAGACTAAGTGAACGGACAACTAGTGCATTTTCTGACACACACACGCACGCACGCACGCACACGCTCACTCACACTCACACACACACTCGCCCTCACACACACACTTACACACTCACATTCACACTCACACTTACACACTCACACTCACACACACACTTACACACTCACACTCACACTCACGCTTACACACTCACACTCACACTCACACACACACTCACACACACACACACACACACACACACACACACACACACACACACACACACACACACTCACACACACACACACACACACACACACACACACACACACACACACACACAC